CAAAAAATCTACATATATCATTACACTGGGATTTTTATGTGGGTCTAATTTAGCTGTAAATAGCAACGCAAAGTGCTAATCAGCATGTATAAGGTTACTAAGGAAACATTAAATGGGAAAGAAAGTTAAAGGTCTGGCAAGCAAGTGAATGTCCTCTGGGGAAAACAGAAAGAGTTTACAGATTATCGTGACCACAAGACATGTTTCTCACTGCCACGCATGGGTGGGCACACATAACAGGACAGATAACCCCCCCCCCCCCAAGCCACCCCGCAGGTGCACGCTGTGGTGATTGAGCAGACCACAGTGCAATCACACTCAAACCACAACTCACACCAACCCCCCCCGGGCTACGTTCTTTTCCATAGAAAGGAACAGGATGGGGGGGGGGGGGGGGGGGGGGGGGGGGGGGGGGGGGGGGGGGGGGGGGGGGGTGATTAGGACGGAGGCGGGAGGGGGGAGCTTTGTGGGCAAGTGCAGATGTCGTAGCCAGAAGGCTTTGTCACCAGCTGAAGAACTTTTACTTTCTTTAACCACAATGGAGAGAAAGAAAAAGGGAGTCGATGACATCAGCGCTAGAACCGAGGGCAGGGGAGGGGTGCCACCAATTCTCCCACTAGGCTGAGCCTCCCTACTGCTCTATTGCCCCCCTCCATCTCATAAGGAAGGCAATGGTGGAAGAGTTTAAGTGACATGGGACGGGATCTGCTCTTGGGCCGTGTTTGTGCGCCACCAGCGACTGCTGCTCTCCGGATTGCCCTCGCCTGGCAGCTGGTACCGCGGCGCGAGAGGAACACCGGCATGAGCGGGCCGCCGGGACAATGGGGCCCTCTGTGCCCCGCGGCAGACGGGCCAGCGGACATGAGAGTCCGGGCACACAGTGTGTCTTTTGTGCAAACTGTGTGTGTGTGCGCGTGTATGTGTGTGTGCGCGAGTGTGTGTAAATAATATTCAAGCTCCAATTACAGAAGCAGCAGTCTGTACGGAACAGAACGCTCTGCTCCCATCGGCGGCGTTACTCTGAAGCGATCTGAGCCAGGCATGTCGAATCAGAGAAGGGGGGGGTCCCGCTGCGGGCTTCAGCCACTGCCCTGGTTACAGTGACCTCACTACCCTCATCACATCCTGTCTCCATTAGGACCGTGCATTATACTCTCTTATGAAGTGTGCTCTTTTCACATTTTACTTTCTCTTAATTTCTTTTTTGCCCCAAACTAAACCGGGCAAACCAGGAAGCAACATGCAGTAGACACACATGTACATATAGACTGTTTTGTAAATAAACATATTTCAATCAAAGACCCATAATTACCTCTTCTGTGTCCATTACTCTTTGTAATTTGGAGTGTGGGAAAACCAATAACAATAGACTATTAATCTTACAGGGAACATAACGCCTGACCTTTACGTCAATTGTACAGCAGTACTTTTTAAAAGATGACTAGTAGTTATAAAAGATTCAAGAAAGATTTTAAGTATTACTTGTTGATTATCTTTTGCCTCCATCACTTCTTTGTGAATCAGTGGGTCACAAAAGACCTGATCTTACGAATATTAGAAAAATAATGCACACAATTATTTTAGAAAAACAGATTAAAAAAACGTACAATTTTGAGTGATTTGTGAATGGCAGTAATATGTGAGAGGCTGCAGTGACCCTGCTCTGTCAAAGCTACGCACCCCTGAAATAAACTATGACCTGTGAATGATCAGGTGGCTTAAGCCCTGTGTTTATAAACGCAGAGAGAGTGACCTTGTTCCCTGACCTTTCACCCCTCCTCGCCATTTACTCTGTTCCCCGTCATGTGGGTCACAAGGGTACAAGAGTAGTCTTTGGAGAACAGCTTCAGAGTCAGAGCAACTCTAAGTTCCACCATGATAAATGAGCCATTTCTGTTTCCCAGCAAAGTTTTGTGGGGTCGTCTTTTTTCCCTATTTCCTCTCCAGCGTGAACAGTAGGTATGAACTGGCAGTGGACATTGTTGGTATTATTCCATGGACTTACACAGTAGACAGCAAAGAGACCTTGCATTCTTTCCCCATTGCTGACAAACTACCACACCGCAAATGTGAGTCTACTATTGACAAGAGAACAAGACGGCGATTGCAGCAAATGACCCTCAAGCAAGCCAGTTATTTGTCATACAGGTCAACAGCAAAGAATTTAAGGCATGTCTTCTGGCAGCTAAGAAATCGTTTCACCTCCCTGTTTCCATTTCTCTGTATCTCCCTCCTTCTTGCGGTTGCATACTCCCATTCACAGGAAGCGAAGGCTTTGCAAAAACATCATCTTCGGCGTGAGACAGCCCAGCCGAACAAATCCAAACAGAGAAGTTATTTCTCTTGTACTCTTAGAGGATTTCCATATTCTTCCAGTCCTACGTCAACTCACCATACGTGAAATGTCCGCAGACGTCCGTGAGCTCTGGTTACGCTGAACCGAAACCTGAGGGGACTGAGATCTACAGTATAAAGACTGGTAATGCCCCGGTTTTGCCTGATCTTTGTGTCTTGGGGTGTGCACTAAACCTAGGCTGGGTGCCAGCAGCTTTTCAATTACACTTTACTTGGTCTGGTTTCAGTTCTCCGGCAGGTGCTAATTAACGTCAGCTAAGGCTGCGGCTGCTGTGGATGAGGGCAGGCCATCACTGCCTCGAGTGCATAACAGATATTAAGAATAATTCACACGGCTCAATATCTCACACTCACTCTCATCTACACAGCAGCAGTATAATATTACTGAAGCTAATCAAAAGCCCTTTTCAGGGACAAATCGACAGTTCCCCAACCCTGAAATGTAAATATACAAACTCTAGCTCCAGGTCCAATCCAGTTTCCTAATCCACCCACCACTACCCTCTTCTGATGGTGCCACTCCTGATGGGGGTTACAGAAAGAATCCGAGGCCAACAGTAATCAGCAAGCGCACAAAAGCCTGACCAGCTGCATTGCACATCTTCCTATCTGCTCCTGGAGCACACACCTTGGTGCGGTGTGTGGTTCAGTGGGTCAAGCCTTTCTCTCACTCTCTATGATCAGAAAGTCTCTGGTTTGAATTCTGTCCTTGGCAGGATAGTGACTCCTCTCTATAGGGACCTTAAGCAAAACCCTTAAGCCCCTGAAATGCTCTACAGCTACTGCCTAAATGACCTAACCCTGCTCTCAGGCTCCAGGCTTTGCTCTCTACTGTGTACATATGTGTCTCAAAGGAGACCAAGAAGTGGAAAAGAAGCATTGTAATGTAAAAACAACACTTTACCTGTCAGGGCTTCTTGTAATAGTACAGGCATTCCTATTATTGTTTTTTTTGACTGCTAAAAAATGTGTTTTTATAACAGTCTGCATGTGACGTAAATGCAATTTAAAAAAAAAACAAAACAAAACAAAAACAGTGTGATTCCGCCACTCCCATAAAACCCAAACCACTGCTTCCTAGTGCCAGGGGATGCAGGGCAGAGACTTTAACACTGGCCCACTGTAATATCCGGTGGGAAAAATTCCATTCCCTCACAAGACTTTCACTTGCACAGTTGACGTAAACTAATTACTCCATGGTGCAACGAATATGGCAACTCTGAGAGCTTAACCCATGAAGATTCACGTGTGAAGGCCACTCTAAGCATCAATCAATTCTGTAACCAGTGTTGAAAAAGACATGAATGAAAATGATTGCTGAAGTAAGGGACAGTGATCAAATACAATGTCACTCGACTAGAAGCATCCCAACACGTGTTTACTTACTGTAGGACATCATTCTTAGGTCAACTGTCAACAACAAAGAACAACAGTCTTTCCAATCTTGCTAATAAATAGCAGTGACAATTCTGGTGGGGCCATTTTTACAAACACCTGAAAAACTGAAAAATAATAGCGAGCTATTTATGTTGGAAACCTTAGAAAACGATATGATTTATATAATCCTGTAACAATTACGGCACCTGTGTTAAATTACTCAGCATATAATCCATGTTTTTGAAGTTTTCCATCAGCCATGGCATAAAATAGTTAACAGCTTTAAGAAGTACATTGTTCATTGCAGTTTATAATTGATACATTATTGATATTTCCTGTCCCAAAGCCACCAGAGCTAAATTATGTACTAAGAGGGAAAAAAAAAGCTACATCTTCAAAGTTCAGACCAAACAGCATGGCTGGCAGATCAAGAGTTGAGAAATATGCTACTCCCCAACCCTCACCTCCCCAGCGCACCCCCCAAAATAGAAATTTAAGCCCTCTTTACTCTCACTTATACAATTACGCCTGCACTGCAGAGGACATTTACGTTTACTGCTTGAACAGTTTTTAAAATGAGGTCAAAATAAGTCCCTACTTCTACCCCCCACCCCACACCTCCCTAAAAACCTATGGCATTTTTCAGACAGTGAGCAGTTTCCCTAGAGCGACAAGTCCAATTCTAAGCCGTGTCAGTGTTACAGTCTGCAGGATGGGCAGCAAATGACAGCAGGAGTGAGTCGCTCCCTCCGGAGTCAAACCAAAACCGAAGCTTTTCTGGGTCAAAAGACAAACATTGAAAGTTGCATCTGGACTGGACTGCTTCAAACTGGAGTGACCCGTGGGCCGTACAGGACCTACCCCTGACCAGGCACTGAGGTTTCAAGTCCTGATCCAACAATGCCATTTGCCAGCACTTTTTTCTTGGCACGTGTTTTATACGTGTTGTTTGGTGTGTCTTATCCGGGATCTCCGTGAACCCGTCCCTCCAGTTTCCCCTTTATTTCCCGGACATACGGACGTCCACGGTGGCAACTGGGAGACACCGGTGCACCCAGGTAACGCAGTGACCGAACGCACAAACAGTGGCACACGCAAACACAAAGTCTTTGAACTCTCATACTCCAGGTCCCGTAAATCCACGCAAAAACCTGCTCCAAAGTCTTGCCTATGAACACAATTTTTTGCAACACAGGGCATTCACTCAAATGACAAGAAAGAGTGAAAGCCGACCAGACAATGGTTCTGCAGCTGACTGTTGCACTCACCTCATCAGCATTTCACAGGTTTTCTCTCCTCTATCTCTTTGTCTTTTATTCTTCCTTTCCTCCTCTCTTTCTCTCCCTCACAGCTGGCTGAAGTTTGTCCTGCAGATTTTCTTCTCTCCGGAGTAGACAAGAGTGAGGGGGGGAAAAAAAAATGCTGCACAGACAGCACTCTCTCTCTCTTTTTCTTCCTTCACTCATTTTTTTCCCCATTTCTCTCTCTGCTTTCGCTCATGTAGTTCAGATGAGTGCCGTTTCCTGCGAGCCCCTTTTGCACCACCACCCCGAGCAAATAGCGATGACAAACAGACAGCGAGAGAGAGAGAGAGAGAGAGAGAGAGAGAGACGGCAGCGCGCACAAAGTGTGTGCTCAGTCGCCTCCCGTCT